ACTTGTCACTTTTTTCCAGGAGGACAAGCAACCATTAGTCAGCACTCTTTGTGTTTGTTCAGCCAGCCAGCTACAAATCCACCTCACCATTACCTTATCCAGACCACAATTTACCAGTTTCTCCACAAGAATATCAGGGGGGGGGGAGCTTTGTGAAATCAAGATACACCACATCCACAGCATTCCCCTGATCCACCAAGCTTGTAGCGCTAAAAGAAAGGAAGGAAGGAAGGAAGGAAGGAAGGAAGGAAGGAAGGAAGGAAGGAAGGAAGGTGTTTTGTCTTGCATGACTTGTTTTTGAGAAACCCATTCTGGGTCCTAGTAATCATAGCATCCTTTTCTAAGTGCTCACAGACTGACTGCTTAATTATCTGTTCTAGGACCTTTCCTGGTGTCAATGTCAAGCTCACCAGTCAGTAGTTTCCTGGATCTTCTTAGGCCTGCCATGAAATGGATAGTACCTGAAAGTGTTGAAATTTGGTTGGATTGCATCTATACTATGGGACCCTGAACTTCATGGAAGTACAACATGATAGTAAAACAAAGACACTCTCTAATCACACTAATTCAGTGGTGTACACTGAAGCAAATGCAGTCATGCATCCCAAGAATATACATTAGTACAGATGTCACCAACAAATCTGTGCTGGAAGAAAGTGTTCCACAACATGGGACTGGTGACACTAAAAGCCAGACTTCTCATTGAGGCCATTTGGGCCTCTGTAACATGGGTGACAACTAAGAGTGCTCCTCCATATTATCTCAGTGATTGAACTGGGCTTGAGTTGTCCGGAGCTTTGTGTATGAATACAAGAACATTGAACCAGTCCTGGTAGGAGATGGGCAGCTAATACAGATGTTTTAGCAGAAGTGTCACATGCTGTCACACAGTATAAAGGGACAGAATTGCAAGGGCTTAGAGTACAGAGGCTATTAAGTGTATTTCATAGTCCTCAAAATACAGCTCTGTGCAAGTATTCGTGTAAGAGATTGCCACTGGAAATTATATAGAATGGGTTGCTTTGCAACACACTCAAATCACTGTCACCTTTCATCCATGACAACCAAAACCAGAGAAACAAATACTTTCATTAATTTAAGATTTATTTCCCATTCCTGGCATGAGTTTAAGCGCTCTAATTTGTGCTTTTCTAATGCTGTCAGCAGATGTTTGCTTTTTTCTAACAAAGAACATTTTATTATTTGATGCTGGTTTCATTGATACACAAGGGACAGTAATTGTAGGGTGTTTTGATAGATGAGCTATCTACCTTGACAAGGAACACAGAAATGCAGTAGCAGCCTGCTTTAAGATTATAGTATAATTATTCCCACATTCTGAAAATAACCCAGAGACAGGAGGTTGTCTCAAGTGGCAAAACATCCCAGACAAGCCCTGGTGAGGGGATTCTTCAATTAACTATAACCACCAGGTCTTCAATTAATACAGCTTCCCATGTCATCTAAATGGGGAAAGTATGGTTAACAGCTTCTGAACAAGCCAAGATATTATGCCATGGTTTGAGTTGGGCTAGTATCATGGCTTGTTCCAAAGCTGCTGACCATAGTTTCACAGTTCAGACAAAATGAGAAACTATAGTTAATGAAGTACTTCCTGGTTTGTTGCTTACATTGTAAATGAAAGATTTCTTTGATTATTTGCTGACTCACACAAAGAGAAGAACAAGGCAGCTGCACCCAAAGCCAAAAAGATTGCTCCTATCTCGACATTTCAAACTGAAGCTACATACCCACTATACCTTTAAAGCACATTTCCCCTCTCAAAGAATTTTGTGCAGTGTAACTCATTAAGAGTTGCTAGGAATTGCAACTCTGGGATGGGTAAACCACAATGACCAGACTTTAAAGAGTGCTTTAAAGGTATAGTGTGTATGTCTGATTGTCTGTATGTGGCTGTTGCACTTGACACCTCTGAAATTGCACTCTTTGGGTACATATGGTGGTTGGCAAAATGTCAAGCATACAACAATAATTCAAATATATGTCTTTAATTATTTGTGTGTTCTTTATGTTGTTGCTGCTTATTCTTCTTTCAGGGTGATATCCAACTTCATGTGAGCAGACTTCTACTTGCACAACAGTTCTTCTCCTTCCCCTTCTTCCAGTCGCAGTCCTCAAATCTGCTCCAGAGGATCCCCAACCCTCAGGAAAATATTCTGAGAGGTGTGCAGGCATGGTGTAGCCAGGATTTATTTCAGTGGGTGGCAAGCTTTATGTTGGGGGGAGCATAACCAAGTTATCTGTGATGCAATCCGTCAGGTAAGTATTTTTATTTATTTACTTGATGGGGGGGGCAGCTGCAAAGAGAATTCTGTTCCATTCACACCCGGATGCCACTGAATTCAAGCCAGTTTTGAAATTGTTCCTGTAGACTCCCTTTTCTAAAAGTGTTGAGAACCACCTTGAATGCTATACAGTATAGAGGAGGCAACCATTTTGCTCACGTCTAATTGATGCGCGACTGCCGACACGCGGGTCCTTTGGGACCCGAAAGAGGGCAGAACCGGGGTGAATGCACACAGGGGCCAGGAATGGAACCCCCACACAAAATGGTTGCCACCTGTACACTAATAATAATAAAGTAACCCACCCATCCTACTTTTTCCTCCATAATTCAGTGACTCCAAACATAAATGTGGTAGCCGTCTGAACCAGCTGAATGACTTGGATGAATACACCCATCCAAATCTTATTCTAGTTTTCAACTGATGTTAAGCATTTTGGTAATTTAAAGTGTACTAATGGGCATAAACAGTCCCATAAATGAGACATTAACACTTTGAATTAACTAAGGCAGCTGGCCTAACGTTGTTGCTGAACCATCCTGAGATCTATGGATGAAGGGCAGCCTACAAATTTCATAAATAAATAAGTAATTTCTGCAATGAAAACCCACCAGAGCTCAAGGCTGGGCTGGCCCAAGATATTTCGGCATCTGAGGTGGACCCCAAAATGGTGACCCCTTGCCTGTCAGAGAAAAAGGGGTGAGGGAAGATCTGGGGAGGGGAGGAGGCGGTAAAGAAAAATCAACATTGGGATCTGCTGCTCTGGTGGGTCCTGCTGCCTGATCACTTTGCCATATGAGCGGGCTGGGCTCGACCTGGCTCAATGCTACTTGGACGACACGCCCTCTGATCTAGAGCTGTGCTCTTCTTACTTCCAGCTTTGAGGGACTAGTTTCATAGATTGTAGAACTGGAAGGTACCCCCGAGCATAGCTGTCAACTTTTCCCTTTTCTTGCGAGGAATCCTATTGGGAAGAAGGGAATTTCCCTTAAAAAAAGGAAAAAGTTGACAGCTATGCCCCTGAGGGTCATCCGGCCCTAGGGAAAGAAGAAGATTTGTTAATGCGGAAAGAAAAGCAGTTTCGTTTCTCTTGCAATTTCACCTGCTCCGTAAGTGAGCACTGATGCTAAAAACAAATGATGGGCTTTAGCTCTAAGAAGCCGCCACAGACGTCTTAGGGTGCCAGTCTCTCCCCACCCCACCCTACTCCGGGCACCCCGCTATGTTGTCACTTTGTCAGCATTTGTGTTCGGATGCAATTCTTACCAACCTCCCTCCAGCAGGAGGAGGTTTAGTACTGAGCTGAGAGAGCAGCTTTTGAGCACTGCCTTCCCTTGGCAAAGAGGAAGCCTCCTTTTACTAAACGGCGGCATGAGAGGAAGCAAAGAAGCCAGCATGATGCCTCGCAGGGAAGAAGGAGAGAGGCTTGTCCCAGAGCTCTGGGCGCTACAGGAGAGGGCATTTAAAAAGATCCCCCGAATCTGCTGCTGACACGAGCCAGTTTGGGTTCCCACGTTCAGTAAGGACTCGCTTTGGGATTTTTTCGGACAAGAGCGGGATGAGGAATTATTGGGATGGGGGCAGGTGCCGTGGGGGTGCGGAGTGCTCCGTCTGCAAGCCCCACCTCTTTATTCTTCCAAATTTTAACCAAATCACGACCCTCCCATAGCTTAAAAAAAAAGCATCCTCACAAAAGGTCCCCCGTCTGTAATTCGAGCACTGGCAGAAAGGATCGAAGGGCTGGACAACTCCCATGAGAATCCAAGGGAAAAGGATGATGGAGGCAGAGACCCATAGGTAAGGGGTGCTGTTTGGAGGTCGGGGTGCACAGCAAGGTAGGAGAGGGGGGCAGAATGGCTGGGGCTGGATAAGTGTGGGGCAAGGGGGGTGAGGTGATTTAGAAGCCTGGTTATGGGGTGGGTCCGCGATGTGGGGGTGGGACTGTGTGCTTTGAGAGATCAGTGGGGAGATTGAAGTTTTTCTGGCAGGCTGGGGCGTACAGAAAATGTGGGGGAAGTCGGTTCCTGGACGTGGACGGAGATCACGGGGGAGGTTCGGCAGAGGGAAATCTAAAAGCTTCCAGGGATCCAGTTCGTGGGAATGCAAAGGAATCTTCTGGCGCGTGACGGGTTATAGGGTAAAAGCAACATTTGGGATCCTGAAGGCGGGCGGCAGAGCGGGGCAAGGCATGGGCTGGGTGGCAGGGAGTGTGTGGCCGTCGGAGGGCAAGGGCGCGCACCCAACGTTTGTTGAATGAGTTGAGCTGCTACTGTAGGGACAGGCAGGGCGAGTGGACTTTCAAACCATACCCTAAGCATCATCATCATCATCATATATGATCTCCGCCAGTAATTTCAGAGTGCAGTAATGCTGGGTTGATTCATTCATTCTTGGTGTGTCACTGGAGTCTGTACGTGTGGCAAGCTGCATGTGCCAGAGCTCAGCCCCCTGGCCTTGGAGCATGTGCAGAAAGTGCCTCAACCACACTCGGGTCACCACCACAAATGTTGTTGTTGTGTGTGTACCCCCCCCCGGCCTAGGACCGTGGCTCACTTTTGGTGGGGGTTTGGGGCAGTTTACATGGGGAGCGCCCCACTGAAAGCCCCCATGGCGAGAGCAAGAGAGGAGAGGGAGGCGGACGCCATGGGTCTCTTCCTTCCCCCTGGTTTATTATAGCTGCCCCCTTCCTAGCAGGTGGCTCCGCTGGGAGGTGTCTGGCCGAGGGAGGCCGCCGCCGCCGCCGCTCCTGTGGGGCGAACGAGGCCCTGGCGACGGGGGCTGCGTCTGGAGCCGAGGAGGCCGCGGGCTTCCCCTTCCCCGGCTGACCCTGTCCGGGTGGCGAGTGAAAGCCGAGGCCGCCGGGAGACTCTTCCCGTTGCGACTGGGCAGGCGGGAGGCGGTCCTGCGGAGGCCCAGCCGGGAGAGCGCCGGTGGTTTCGCAAGGCCGAGGCGGGCGCCGGCGACTCCTCGGGGTCGCGTAGGGGAGCTTTCCCCGGACCCCCGGCCGCGAAAAGGTCGTGGCGCGGACAGAGGCCGGGCTGCAGCCCCTCCGGGGGGCGGGGAGGAAGTGGAGGGGGAAAAGGGCCGCTTCGCCTTGAATTTGAGGAAGGTGAGAGACCGTTTCCCGAGCCTCTCAGGGACTGGACAATGGAGCTTCCCTCTTTTTCTCCGCCACCCGCTAACCGGCATTTCCCACCCCTTCAGCTGCAACGCTTTTTGCCCATACTCCCCCGGAAAGTTTTTAGGGTGTGTTTTTTTTCTCTCCTAGGATTTTCCCAGGCCCCCTCCTCCCAGTCAGGCTATTTCGCTTCAAAATGAATTTATTTGCTCCCCCCCCCCCCGCTCCCGCTTCTTAAGTCCTTTGATTTCTTTATTTGAGGACTTGCTCGCCTCTCCACCAAGGAGCTGTATTTCATAGTATAAGCCTAAACAGTGTTTGGATAGGAGTATGTCACAATGAAGTTGTTGTTATTATCATAATCATTTACTTTATTATTATTAAACAAGAGGCCGGTCTTGGCTGGGGAAGGCGGGGTATAAATAATTTATTATTATTATTATTATTATTATTATTAATAATAATAATAATAATTTTCTTCTTAGTGAGTCTGGTTATAGGATTGTACTGGTGGGCAGAAATCCTGGATGTTCACATCCTTGGGAGTAAGCCCTATTGAATTCATTATTGGGCTGTTAGGGGCACACGGCTATCCTGCAAAGTAGGTCACACTCAACTTTTTCCTCTTGGATACCTTGGGTATATTTTTCTACTGATAATCAGTGAGGTGCAGGTGACAGTAGTTGGTTTGGGGAATCCATTTTTAAAACCTCTCTCATCTCTGAAACTCAATGTGGGATTTTGCAGCCGATCTTATTTTGAATTACTTCATAGGTTTGTTGTGAGGATAATAGAGGTGAGGGAACAGATAAATCAACCTGAGCTTCTTGGAGGAAGGGTAGGATAAAAAGCTAGTGTTTCCATGTACAGTGTGATAAAACAGTATTTGTAAATTTGCATGCACTGATTTGGTGCACATGTGTTGATATTGTGCCAGAATGCAAATTGTGAATCAGACCCGAGAGAGTATAACTTGTTCAGAGCCACCTAGCAAACTCATAACTGAAGTCTTGAATTTCCTTAGCCAGTGCAACATTCTGCCCACAACCGTATTTCCTCTGTGGCTGTGTGAAAATCAGTGGGAGATCCACCTGACCCAGTATCTAAATAACAGAATTATTTAATAAATAGATTATATTTCAACATTCCATCCCCTTTCAAGAACTAAAACATAATGATTACTGTTTCTTCATACACAGAACACACAGGTGATCAATTCAGTCCATACATATTTACTCAGAAGTAAACTCCATTGATTTCAGTGGGACTTATTCTCAGATAGGTTTGTGTATAGAACCACAGTCTTAATTGGTATCTAGTTTTGAGAGAGAGGGTTGGAATATGACAAATATGATTCTAACTCAATGGCTAGCTGTGCTACACATTGATATTAACAAACATGACTAAGTTCGTTCCATTAATTTCAGTAGGTCTACGCTGAATAAAAAGTATAACACCATCCAATATTTTTAACAAGTGCTCTTTTGAGGTTAATGTATATACTATTTTAAAGTGTGAGTATTTTAGGAGTAAAACTCAATAGTAAAAATAGGTATCCATCTTATTAATAGCACTATTAAACATTGTATTTATGCAGTTTTTGAGAGTTGCTTGCTGTTCTGAATGATAATTGGAAGTCTCATCTTGTGAAATTATATACAGGACTCACAAATATTTGAGATGCCATTTGCTGATACTTTTTGTATGGATGAAAGTTCAATACTGTATAATGAATTTCAATTAAGTTGGTGAGAACTGCATCTGCAATTATTGTAAAGATTTCATGATTTGAGCTGAAAGGTTTTCTCATAAATATTTTTTTTCAACTATAGTGCCTCTAGTCTTTTGTCTTTAAAAAGGTATGTTCCTTAGGTTTAAAAAACGACAACTGTGATGAATCCCCAAAGTTCATGTTCTGCTGTTGTTTAATTATCAATAATTTTTCAACATAATTGGGTAGTTTCTTTATTTGTCTTTTTTTTACTTCTGTGTAGTAAAAACTCTTCAGATAGCTTCATTTGGAGCTCAAGGGACAGAATTTTATTTCTCCCAGTTCTATTATTGTTGGGAAAGTATATATCTAAGAGAACTTTTTAAAAAATCAGCCCAGGGTCACTGTGGTTTTGTTTGTTTGTTTGTCCACAATCTGCATTGGGTCTTGGGATCTTGCAAGCATTTTCATAATTATATTAGTTATTACCGTAATTTTAGTTTTACAGATCTTGATAAGTCATGTGGAATCCAGAAACAAGGCATCCAGATTTATTGTATATGCCTACCAGAATCAAACTGCTTTAAACAGGCGGTGAAGTAGCTGGGTGATTCATTGCAATCATGAGCAGATGGCAGAAATCTAAACAGGAGATCGATCTGGGTTTTTTGTGCTATCTGAGCATACTTGTCCACAAGTAGACATGCATTACCTACTTAATTAGCCCTGTGGCACATGTATTTTTTCCCCTTTTCAGGACTGACTGCCCAGCTGTTGCATGTTTAGGTAGAGGCAAATGCTTTTAGAAAGTGTAAGGCTGAGCTAGATGAGCTTATTCTTTCACATACCTTATGAAATAAACTCCGTTTCCACTGATTCAACATCAGAGCTGGTTTGATGGATGAAAGTCAGTGTGGTGAATGGTGGTTTTCTAAGGTCAGTCAGTTTTTCTGAACCAAATATAACTACCCAAATACAATGCAATCACTATCTTTCTTCATATTTACTATCCTACCCCAAATCTACTTATATGGCCAACTATTGCCCAGTCTCAAATATTCCATTCTTGGGCAAGGTGACTGAGCAGGTGGTTGCTGAACAACTCCAGGCACGCCTGGAGGATGCAGACCATTTGGATCCCTTCCAGTCGGGATTCAGGCTTCATCATGAGACTGAAACTGCCTTGGTAGCGCTGGTTGATAATCTCCGGTGGGCTAGGGACGAAGGTGAAAGCTGTTTCCTAGTTCTGCTGGATTTCTCAGTGGCCTTTGATACCATTGACCATAACATCCTTCTGGCTTGTCTTGAGGGGCTGGGGGCACTGTTATACAGTGGTTCCGCTCCTTCCTCCTAGGCCATGTCCAGAAAGTGGGGGGGGGGATGAGTGTTCAGACCCCTGGGCTCTCACTTATGGGGTGCCTCAGGGTTCTGGCCTCTCCCCCATGCTTTTTAACATCTATATGAAGCTGCTGGGAGAGATCATCAGGGGGTTTGGCCTGGGTGTTCATCAGTATGCAGATGATATCCAGCTCTACCTCTCTTTCAAATCAGAACCAGTGAAGGCGGTGAAAGTCCTGTGTGAGTGTCTGGAGGCCGTTGAAGGATGGATGACAGCTAACAGATTAAGGTTGAACCCTAACAAGATAGAAGTACTGTTTTGGGGGGATAGGGCGAGGGCAGGTGTGGAGGACTCCCTGGTCCTGAATGCGGTAGCTGTGCCCCTGAAGGACCAGGTGTGCAGCCTGGGAGTTGTTTTGGACTCACAGCTGTCCATGGAGGCGCAGGTGAATTCTGTGTCCAGGGCAGCTGTCTACCAGCTCCATCTGGTACACTGGCTGAGACCCTACCTGCCCGCAGACTGTCTCACTAGAGTGGTGCGCGTTCTAATTATCTCCTGCTTGCACTATTGCAATGCGCTCTACATGGGGCTACCTTTGAAGGTGACCCGGAAACTACAACTAATCCAGAATGTGGCAGCTAGACTGGTGACTGGGAGTGGCTGCCGAGACCATATAACACCAGTCCTGAAAGACCTACATTGGCTCCCAGTACATTTCCGAGCACAATTTGAAGTGTTGGTGCTGACCTTTAAAGCCCTAAATGGCTTCGGCCCAGTATACCTGAAGGAGCATCTCCACCCACATTGTTCAGCCTGGACACTGAGGTCCAGCGCCAAGGGCCTTCTGCCGGTTCACTCACTGCGAGAAGCCAAGTTACAGGGAACTAGGCAGAGGGCCTTATCAGTAATGACACCCGCCCTGTGGAATGCCCTCCCATCAAAAGTCAATATCTGACTTTTAAAAGACATCTAAAGGCGGCAGACCTGTTTAGAGACATTTTTAATGCTTGATTGGGGGTTTTTTTGGGTTTTTTTGCTGGAGGCCGCCCAGAGTGGCTGGGGAAACCCAGCCAGATGGTCGGGGTATAAATAATTATTATTAATTAAAAAAGCATTTTTGCATTTTGCTCCGGGATGGGATCAACATGGGTCTCCACCTGCAGGGAAACAAATAACATTTCATTTGAGCCAGGAGTTGAAGGGTGTCAGTTTCGCCACGTGTCTGTTTTGTGTCAGTGTGTTCAAACTTGTGATCATCCCTCCTGCCTCAAATTATAGTGTTACCTTGGTTCTCAAACTTAATCTGTTCTGGAAGTCTGTTCCAAAACCAAAGCATTCCAAAACCAAGTCATCCTTACCCATAGAAAGTAATGCAAATCTGTTCCAGGCTTTTAAAAGCAACCCCTAAAACAGCAATTTAACATGAATTTTACTATCTAACGAGACCATTGATCCATAAAATGAAAGCAATAATGTACTGTACTATAAAATAAACAAGACAGTATTGTAGATGATAAAAAAAATCTTACCTGCACTAATGATAGTCACTGTTTGGATGAGGAGCTTTTATCCCTTTCTGCAGTCAGTCAATCAATCAATCAATCAATTGGTAGCTGAACTGGGTTCCACAGTCACAAAAACAAATTACTAGAAAAAGCCTCAAAAACAAAAACGCTAAATAAACAGCAAACTTAATCCGTTCTGGAAGTCCATTTGACTTCCAAAATGTTCAAAAACCAAGGTGCAGCTTCTGATTGGTGCAGGTGCCCAGGAAACAATAGCCGACAGCTGCATCGGACATTCGGCTTCCGAAAAACGTTCGAAAACTGGAACACCTACTTCCGGGTTTTCAGCATTTGGGAACCAAGGTGCAACTGTAGTGTTTCAGTAACTGCCTCAAATGTTTATCTGAATCTGCAACATGCAAGTATCCTCAGTGGTTAGAAATGTGATAGCTAAAGGGAAAGCCCATAGCTTGGTAAGAGTATGCATATTATGCGTGCATGCAAGCATAAGACCTTGAGCATCATTTGATAGATCTTCCCGAGCCCTTCTGTCTCCTAGACTTTTTGAAGTCCTGCCAGAGAGGAGGAGCCATATATTCTGAGCCATATAGGCAGCTTCATATGTTCATCTGTAATATGGCCTGATCCTATGTGTACATTTTGAGGGTCTGGCAACTTAAAACTTGCAACCCTATCCCGATTGTGTTGGCTCCGAAGTCTCATCTGTCTCTCTGTTATAACCTGATGACCAGGTTGTGATTCTGCAATCCTAAACATGTTTGGCCACTGCTTATGTAATTATAGAATCATAGAATCATAGAGTTGGAAGAGACCACAAGGGCCATCGAGTCCAACCCCCTGCCAAGCAGGAAATTGGGAATTGGCAAGTGATGATCAGTTCTTTATACACTGCCTCTTTGGTTGCCCCAGCCCAGTCAGATGGGCAAGGTACAATAAAGATTGTTAAATTATTATTATTATTATTATTATTATTTGGAAAAAATCCTTCTTATTCCCTGACATCTTCACTTTGCATAACATGGTGAAACTATAATATGTGAAACATATATGGTATTTCCCCAGATAGAGAGGAAAGGGCATGGGGCAAGGTTTTTCTTTTATTTATTGAAGGATACACACACCACACACTTTCACCCTAAAGACAAAAGGCTCCCAGGCTTACAAATATCAGTAATAAAAACCTGCCCTTGGGCTTCCAATCTAAAAGACATGACACAAAAGGAAAAGTGATTGGAAGGGAGGAGGAAAACTAAGTAAATCCAGGTACTAGCTCTTAGTTAGGGGGTTCCTGTATAAATGGAAAAAATCAAAGAGAGGAGGATCCAAAGTTGATGGACCCTCAGCTGAGCCAATGAAGAGGCCCTGTACTAGCTCCTCTCCCTCTGCTATAGCTCAATGGAATGGCTCCATCAGGGTTCGTGTTTGAAGTGTAAGAACTTATTGTCCAGGATACTTGTTTTCTATTTTAAACTTTTTGATCAAGGCAAAAAGCCATTGTGAAAGTTAAGTGGATTCGTACTTTGTGTCATCAAGGTTATTTTTATTTGCGGTAGAATTTCAATTCCTCCCCTGCATAACTGAAGTCGAAACCAACGTATTTTGCATAAGCTTCAGCGAAAGCATATCAACTACCTTATTTCCTCGTGGTTTATTCTTTTACAGGAATATTCATATGCACAACCTACGCTGTGTTTTCCATATGGTAATCAGTAGCCCACATTTTCTCACAAGACCATTCTTGCAAGTTCAATGGGATGGAACTCCAGAGAATGAAGTGCTAGCATCCAGTATGATGGTCCGTTTGCCCTGAAATCCATTCAGCTAGGTAAGAACATCTGAGATGTGGCAGGAAGGGACCCATGCTGGTCTTGAAAAGTACTGTATGTGCAAAATTAATATGTAAATATAGCTGTGCTGGTGATGGGAAAAACCCAGTATCTTTGCGGTTTATACAGTGGTGATCTAAGTGGTTCAAGCCCTGAGTTGACAAGTATTTACAGCAGCGGGCCTGCCGTTTACCAAGATGCTTAAAAAATGCAATTAGTTGTTCTGACTGTATTTTCTAATTCATTTTGGCAGTCCCTAATGTCAGTTGAATAGCTAGTCCTTCAGATGTTATTAGAAAAGATTTCTGTATGAACCCAACAACTAAGAGCATGCAGAAAACACCTCCATAAATAAATTCACCATAAGCATGTTGAGTTTTCTTTCTTTCATCCACAGCTCTTGGCTAGAACACACAACTGAGAACAGTTTCCTAACAAATGTGTGTATTTCTACTGTGATCAAGGGGCTGCAACTCAGCTGCTTTATAAATTCTAGAATTTCACTGAGTTACTTGTAAATTGTAATGCTTAGACTATTTAAGTAAAAATTAATGGTTCAGCTGAGTTGATGGAAACTATTATCATTTCTATTTAGTTCACAGAGAAACCAAATTTGATTGTTTATGTTGTTCGAAAGGGATATCTGTATAAGCAGGTGATGTTGGAAACTCAAACTATGGAGGATTTTGTGCTTTAAAGGATTTCAGTAGAATTTGAGGAATTGAAAGAATTGTTTTTTGTTTCTTTGCAAGTAAAATTAATGCTCCAAATTTCTCCTTTTGGCACTTGCCTAAATCTAAATTTTCAGGAAAGAGAAATGAATATGATTGATGGTTCCTTGACACTAACTTTTTAGAAGCTTTCTATTGTAAAGAATTGGGGAAGTAAATCTGACCACGAGAAAACATTCCAAAGTTTTTACAGGGACAGTAATAACATAGGTCATGTAAAATCTTCGTTTATAGTCTACAAAGAAACCTTAATCTCTTGTTAAGGCCCCAATTGAAGAGTCAAATTTCCTCCTTGAAATATGTCCAGAAGCCAGCTAGCAGCCAATACAACAGAAAGTACATTAACGTCACAATCTTAGGCGTGTCTACTTGTTATGTTTTACCTGAAATCCTTGAATGATACCTTAGGGCAGTCTGCTATCTTGGATATTAACACCTTAATGGAGAACATTCCCCATAATGTTGTCACTATCTTAAGTCCCGTATATAGAATCACAGAATTGCAGAGTCATCTAGTCCAACCCCCTGCAGTGTGGGAACCCTGCCCACAGCCGTCCCTGGGTTGGCTCAAACCCCCAACCTTCTGGTTAACAGCCAGACACACTGACCCACACTGACGCCACAGGAGGGCTTCATCTCCTCGACAACTTTCCTTGAAGTGAGTTCTTCCTTAACTTGGAAAAGTACTTGGAAAATAAAATAATTTTTAAAAAATTACTCATAAGAACCCCATTTTACATTATAAAATGTTTCCGTGGAAGTTCCCCAGTCCTTTGCAAAAGCAGTCATGGCGCCAGCCGTATAGTTTGACTACTTGGCTGGTGAGGATTTGTGTGTTATCCAGGCAACCAGTCAAGGAGAAAATTTCATGGCAGACGTAAAGCTCTTTCAGTGCAATGCAATGCATCTCTCACCATAAGGAAGGCATATTGAGTTCAGTTAGCTTACTTCCAAGTAAACAAATATAGGATTGTAGCATTTTATGCTTCTGGGCATATTTGAAGCTGCTGCTTCTGCTGATGATAATGCTTGTACCCATTGTATCAGGCATGGGGAGCCTGTCCATGGACCAAATTACCCATGGCAGGGGTCCTATTTGGCCTGCAAAGCTGTTGTAATTATGTTAGGTGTGGGGCAGGTAAAGCCTCAGCTGCAAAGCAACAATTGAGAGCCTTAAACTGTGCTCCTGGTTGTTCCTCTAAAAGTTTGGTGCCAAGTGCAAGGCCTGGCTGGGATCAACGCCACTTGGGAAATCTCAGGTGGAGCAAACACTGCTGCAAAGGAGGTGCTTCACCCGACAGGCATTGTAGTATCAGGTGACTGCCAGATGGACTGCCCCACATCCTGTCAGCCTGGCCTGAGGCAACTGGACGCATGAGGATTCAGCCTGCCAAACAGATTCAGTTAAGCCCCCCTGAGTTCTATCTTAGGACAACCTTGCAAAATAAACACACAAAATTACTAGCCTGCCTGCTGTCTGTCCTTGTTTTAAAAACAAAGCAGGAAAGCAGAATAGCACCTTGCAGAGAGCCAAATGTGTGCAGAAGTCAGTTAAGACAAGCATTTATGGAGACAAGGAACATTTGTTATTTCAGACGCTTGCAAACACAGAGAGCCCCATAGAAAACATTACATATGCTCTACTTGCAGGTGCATTCTGCCAAAACACGATTTACATAGGGGTATGCAATCCACAAGACATGATACAAAAGAAAGAAGATGGCCATATTCAGCTACCCACTCACTAAATGACCACTGACACAAACCATAAGTAAAACCAACTATGCTATGTAAACCAGGGGTTGAAACCAAAGTTTGAATTGGGTTTGCAAGCCATGGTTATGCAGAACCTCCCCCCCCCTTTTTTTTTTTGTAAATGGTGAATTTCATCTGGTTTTTTTTTTTAAAAAAGACACATTAATACAGTGGTACCTCGAGTTAAGTACTTAATTCGTTCCGGAGGTCCGTTCTTAACCTGAAACTGTTCTTAACCTGAAGCCCACTTTAGCTAAGGGGCCTCCCGCTGCTGCTGCACCGCCGCTGCACAATTTCGGTTCTCATCCTGAAGCAAAGTTCTTAACCCAAGGTACTATTTCTGGGTTAGCGGAGTCTGTAACCTGAAGCGTATGTAACCTGAAGCGTATGTAATCCGAGGTACCACTGTATTGGGAAAGGGGTGGAAGGGGAAATTACTGTTGAGAGGGCAGGAGGGCACAAGGCAGGTCCTCATTTTGCAGAACCATGCCTTGACAAAAACTAGTTTTAGATTAGCTGCGAACCTGAATAAAGCCTAAAACAGACTGTTACTTGATAACGGGAAGCATTGACTTGAATCCAGTGCCACACTACATAATTGCCCCATCAGTGCAAGGAGTTCCACTTGTGCAATGGGACTTTCCCCGTTCTCTCCCTGGGTGCACCATGCATCCTCCCCAAACCTGTTCTGAAGGGCTTGGGGGAAACCCCAGAACAGATTTAGGGGAAATGGACATCCTGAGCACTAGATTAGATACAAGCCATTATTAAACATTAGAGAGGGTGGCACAACCCACTACAGACTGACTTCATATTTGATACTGATGCTGAACTCTTAACTTGGGATACTAAAAGAGAGGGTTGTTTAGGAAGTGTCTTGCAATGAGGTGGCAGTGCTATTATCTTAGCTTTCAGAAATATGACAGAAAACGAATGCAATAGTTAGAAGTTTTAGATCAGAATCGAAGGAACTACCTGCAATGCACATACAATATATTATTGCATATACCATTAGCTATAGCTCATATACAGTTATATTTCATTTGCCTGTGAAAAAAGACAGCCCATCAGCTTCTGGTGATAAGTACTCTTAAAATCTTGATAAGATCTACACGCCATGCTGTTCATTTAGCACTTACAGTGTTTATCTCAGTGCAGCTGAAGAGCACTCAGAAATGTGTAGGTTTCTCCCATGGGTACAGAAAAATGGGTAAGTTTTTTTTAAAAAACCCACTGAACTCCCCCTTCTTTTATAAGAAACAGCTTTTATTAACACTGGCCCACCAACCATCTGTTGATAGTCGGGATTGGTAGTGTAAAGAAACGCTTGAATGTCATCTCTCTGCAATGCAAGATGTTGTAAAAATTAATATATATTGATGTTAATTGAATTGCCATTTCTAGTTTCGAGGGAATGGTTTCCAAATGCATTTATCATTGTCAAGAAGCTGGCAAGTGTGAACTTTTTAAGAAGTATGGTTGAGTCGAGAACAGAAAAGAGAGGAATAGAAGGTGTACATAAATGCAAATATCTAATAAATATTCTGAATGTGATTTTGCATGCTCAGTTTTCTACAGAGAAACTTTATGATGTGCTGACAGTAAACAGATTATTCAACAAGACAAGAAAGTTTCCATGTAATCTTAAATATGTTGGGTAAATTGATCTTAAATCAATTTTGGTTGAGAGAAATTTTCGACTATTAGAAGCAGCATAAATGCAGTGCTAAAGCAGCAAAAATCAATTATCTAGGTCTTCAGGCAAAATTTGAATCAGAAAAAATTCTAATTTCCTACATTAATTGAGAATATTTTAGCATGTTTGACCATATTTAATAACTAGAACAAAAAAGCATATTAATTTTATGTGATGTATAAGTTTCTGAAATATCTTCTCATAGCTAAAATAGTGAAACTGAAATATTTTCTGTATCCAATCATTTCAGTTAGGAGTGCAGTCATGACCTCCCCATGTTAATGACTGAAGGGGTTATGTGTTGGTGATTTACTGCTGTCGTTGAGACAAGGGTTGCCCATTGGGGTTGTGGTGCCAGTCGCCTTGGATACACGGGGTTCAAACCACTGTAGACTCCGCAGCTACACCAAGCTGGATCTGGTATAGTGAAAATGACAAGAAAAAGTGCTTCTCCAAACTCCACTTAGGATCGCTCTGAAAGTAAACCTTGTATGGTTCGAGTGTTATATTCAGACTTGTGCATGGAAATTACTCATTTTGGAATGCTTGTAAAAAAAATTAAAATATAGCATCTCAGTAGCATACACTACATTATTTAGATTTTAACAGCACAATCCAATGCATGTTAATTCACGAGCCAGTCCCATCGAGCTGAATGTTTTTGTGTTGTTGCCTACAGTCATAAATATATGATTTTGCATTCCTATTCATAAGAGAGGAAGAGAAAAGGACAGCTGGGAGTGAGGGGAGAGAAGCCCTGACAGAAGTTGTGAGGTTTGAACACAAGTTGGCAGGGCAATGTCTGTGCATGTTTAAGTGGCGAAAAAGAAATACTTTATTGAAGGGCTCTCACCCTAATTAATATACACTCTTCATATTCTATTTTGTGATGGAAAATAGCAGGATAAAGTTTGGGAATCTGAATAAATCAGCAGAGATTTTGCAGATGATCTATTATTTTCTTTAATAGAAACTGATCATTATGCATAAAGTAAACTTCAACAAAGAGGCTTTTTGTATAATCTCCCATTTATAGTCATTTGAAGTATTAGAATGGCAGGGGGCATTATGTATAATTCAGAAAAATGTGCGTCTTCCCCACCACTTTAAGTCTGGGTTTGGTGAAGGTATTTCTAGACATCAGAAAGCTTAAATCTGAATTTATTTCAAAGGATATTTTCTACGCAAAAGTAAAAGTACATGTTGATTATAAAGGGTCACCGAATATATTTTTCACATTCGCTTGCTGAGGAGGGCTTACTTGGAGGAATGCCTTGACAGTTGTCTGACAGTTTTGCCCTGATCTAAAGGACTGACTTCGTATCTCATTGGACCTCTGAGACAACTCTTGGTTGAGAAATGGTCACTGCTACATTTATAGAATGTAGAAACAGTAAACAGATCAAGACATTGGCAGGATTATTGTAAAAAACCTGCCGTTTCAAAAATGTATATAAGATATATATGAGAATAGATGATTAAAAGAATAAGTGAGGGCAATTTGGAGTATGCAGGATAGGTCGAAAACAAATGTAAGGAAACGCAGAAAGAGGGGAAGGGAGTCGAAATTGAAAATGTTAAAATTATGGTTAAATAATTGTTGTAATGTATATAAATGAAAATTATAAATAAAAAGAAAAAAGAAACAATATATACTATCACTAGTGTATGTTCAGAACAAGTCCAGCACAGCAGATGGTGTGTTGAATTTTGGTTTGCTAGACCTTCCTTCAAAACTCAGCTCTTGGTGTGGGCTTGAACACTTACAAATATTATTGTAACATTATTACAAAATGTTACTGTTTTCCATGTTGAAATCTCTGTTTCCTGAATGAGCATCTATACTGCTGGATATTGTAACCCTTAAAGTTATTAGTTTGCGCTAAATATGACTTTTGCAACCTCAGACCATAACCTGAAACCTTACGCATTCTTTGCAGAATAATACTGGCGTAGAAACCAAGAGAGGCATTTGTTTGCCTGTCCTTGTGAACATGTAAGCATTCAAAGTAAGATAAGGCTAAGGCTGCAAACCTATGCGCCCACTTTGAAGTATTTTCAAGTAAACAAGGCTAGGATTGGGGGATGTAAACATCCAGAACTTTCAATGAATAAAATTTTGCATAGACAGCTCTGCAGCTACTATCAGGGCCTGCCAGTAGCAAGCATTAGAGCCTGAA